TGTTTATTTAGTTAGTTAGTTTTGAGATAGGGTCATGCTCAGTGGCCCAGGAAGGCTTGAATTTTTAGTCTTTCTTTCTTAGGCTTTCTGAGTAGCTCTAATTACTGGATTTTGCCACCATGATATAGTAGATTCTATTATCAACTTTAAGATTCCATGCATGTTTTTACACTGGGTCTTGTTATGTTAATTTGGCTGACCATGAATGAACTCTCTTGGTTCAAGTAACTCTCCTACCTACTGCAGCTTCTTGAGTAGCTGAGGCCACATGAATGACACTGCACCCAGTCAGTGCTTATAATTTTGAAGGAAACTCTGTCTCTCGAGGAGAAAGATACATAGCTATTTTGATCCAAATTCCAGTCTAACACTATCCCTACAATAGTAACTACTGAGTTATAATTAAGTCAATTGCTTCCAATTTTATCCATATTCCATTCCATTGAATTATTTCCCTACTAGTGAGGGCTTATTATTATTTATGTTTATCGACTTGTGTGTGTGTGTCTATGTTTCTGTAAGTATTTGTTTACTGGAGAATGTACATTCCACAGAACATTTGTGGAAGTCAGAAGACTTTTAGGAGTCCGTTCTCCCATTTTATCATGTTGTTTCTGTGACTATAACTTGGGTCATATGGCCTAGCAACAAGCACCTTGCCCTGAGTCATCTCTCCATCTCTAAGTTGTATTATGTATAAATAAGCTTAATTGTTATGTGTTGTTAATAATTAAGCATAAGAATATGATCATAGAACATAACTATGATTTCTTCTAGTAACTTTGTCAATCACCATTCCTTAAATATGCACTGCATAACTGTACAACTACCTATTGTTGAAAATATTCTTTGCTAATCATTGAGCGAGTATTTGACATGACTGACCCAGAATAACTACCAGACTATCACTAGCTTCCCTGACTCAAGTTCCAGAAAACTGAGTTTGTACATTTCTTGACACTTGGTCTCACTCTCTCTTCTGTGCTTTAAGTTATGCTTGGGAAGGCAATAGTTCCCCAATGAAGCATAACTAGCCATGCTTGGCACACAAACACACGTACAGAATTTGGTGAATGAATCCTACTGAAATTCTTAACATTTTATGTATATGAACACAAATGTTGATTGACATACCTTGGTAGAGAGTTGTGTGAATAAAAAGGAATTAATTTTATAGAAGAAAGGGATGTTTTATAATCTGCTCTGTAATCTTCAACATAGATAGACTGGAATTCTGAGCTATGATTCATCTCTATATAATTTTTTTCATTCAAAAGCAGAAGACTCATGTATGTGAGGTGTAATTCCCTAAAACTACAAAAATTATTGAGACTATGTAACCTCATGTAACAAGCCATAAGTTTATTCTTTGAAATATAATACTTTTCAGTGTGTTACATAAGAAAACAGATTTCCCCCAAAAGCCACTTAAAAATATTGTTCTCATCTTCTAGAGCATAATAAAAAATCAAAACCAAAAATTTTAAATGACAAAATACTTTGGTAGACTTCAAAGTGATACAATAAGACATGTTTACTTCTCATTAGCATTGATCTCTGAAGTTTACACAGTCAGGTTTAGCCACAAAATGTTATGATTTATTCAAGTAGCAAGCCTCTGTTGGTCCTCTGTAAAGAAACAATGTTAAATGGTGTAGTCTGTGGTCCGCCATGTTAAAGAAAATTTTGTTTCTGGTTTTATGCTTTGGGCATTTATTCTGCAAGTCATTCTTAATCATCTCCTATCTGCATTTCAAAGAGAGCCGAACAGTGATGTTTTGTTCCTGGTTTTATTAAGATAAAAACTAAAACTCATGAAAAAGTGCTTAATAAAACAGCAATATTTTAGCAAAATGAAAAAGACAACTTCAATACTTAAAAATTAATATTCTATGCCTATACAGTTTTGAAACATAAACTTTTTTAAAGATCCATCTTCTTTAAAATTTTCTTTAAAATATCCCAAACCTGACATGTCTTCCTCATAGATAGTTCTAATTGCATTGTGGTAATAAATATTTTGTTTTGATAATTTTGACTGGCTTTATTAAACTTAATTACTAAATGCAGAAATCATATAAAAAACTGTAGTCTTGCAATAGTTAATAAGAAAAACATTAGATATTCTTATAATATTTTATCATTAATCTAGTTATATATTAGTAAACAAGAGGAATTCAGATGTCACTTCTAGGAATAGAATTAGGTACAATTGCTTTGGGAACATGACAGCATCTACCAAAGTTTAATATACTTGTCTAACCATACTCATGCCTGCCCTATGACCCAGCAATTCTTGTAGAGAAAAATCTTAGGGCTGGCATACACAGTACACACAGACACACAGACACACAGACACACACACACACACACACACACACACCACATCACATCACATCACATCACAAGATGTTCAAGGATATTCATGGTAAATTTATATTAACCCAAACTAGTCCATGAATGTAGCTCGTGAGTTCATTAAGAGAGACATGGATAAGTTGATTGTCATGTTGGTCATACAAGGTACAACCATACTTTAATTAGAGTAAGTTCCTGCTATGTACAGCACCATGGATAATCATACACGTATAGTGTTCTGAGAAAAGAATAAAAATTATTCTTTATTTATAATGTGAAAAAACAAGAAAAACATATTTGTGGCATAAATTAGGTTAGCAATTACTTTTGGTAAAGGTGATGTCTTTCAAGGAGGAGATGGAGGTGGTGGCTGGTGTGTGCACCTATGTGGTATTGACTGATATTTCTAATTATTGGTCTGTGATTTATTCACCTGGGTATGTTCCCTTTATGAAAACTTTATCTAAATTTTATGTATATATTTATTTTAGAAGTATGTCTACTATTTAAACAAAACTCTTAAAATCTTAAAAACCTGTAAAATTATTTGAATCAGAACACTATAAACTATTTTGCTGTTTGATTGATGCTCTTGCTTTTATATTGCCCTGGAAAGAGTTTGCTAATATATAATTATGTTATCATAATGATTGCTGCTGCTCAATAGGAATGTGAAGTGACTATAGCTAACAGTAACAAAGTACATATTTCAAATCAACATCTTCACTTTTCCTTTTCTAGTAATAGGATACAAGTAGATTTGGTTAACAAAGAATAATTTCCATGAAGACATTATACATCATTTTCAATAAGGTAATCTTTCATTCCTATGGAAATCTTCTTTTAAGGCCAACCACTAAGAGTGAAAATACCTATTTTTTGTATGTTATCAAAGTTTTCACAGAACAATGACCTAATCTCATCTAATTTCTATTTAGGATAAAGTTTTCCCAGATCTTTAAAAGAAAGAAAATTGATGAACAATAGAAGTATGAAATTAGCTCTTTATTGGTAGGAAGTCTTTTTCTAAGAATTTATGATTAGGTTGTTCTTTTAAATATTTTAATTATTTAATGTTATTGAAGATAAATTATAATTATCAAATTAGCTTTTTGTAAATTTCAATAAAAATATCACAAATCTGAGCACCCAATGATGAAGAATTTATATATCTAGTTACAATAAAAATATTGTGATGAATTGTCATTACACAAATTTTAGTTCATTGACTAATATGTCTTAACTACTGACCTACAATTTACATCAAATTAATACTCTTGCTTTTTAAAAATGCATAGTATTTTAATACAAAATTTACAAATGATTGTAGTAGAAAATACCATGGAAAAATGATCAGTTTATTGTAATCTGAACTTTGTGCCACTTTCCATGACATTTTCATATACATGAAAGCTCTACATACTCTTGATATGTTCCCTACATAGAAAACCTCTGTCAATTGAAAATTACAGAAATTTATAAAATCATATTAAAACCCTTTTCACTGAAAATACTGTGATCTGAAATGTTTCAAGCCCTCAATATAGAAGGCATTCGACATAATTTTCTTCTCATCCGTTTCAACTATTACATACAGGCATGCCAGAATAGTATGATTTCCTGTAAGGCAGCTCATGAGAGTCATACCTCTTAAGGTGGCCAAAAGAATAAAACTAGATTTACTAGCACAAGAAATAATTCTTACACCAGATGGAAATCAGTATATGCTTAACTAACTAACACAGTTGTTCTAGTTATTTAAGTTTGGAATGCTTGAAAAGGTTGTCAGCCATTAAGAGAAAATCCCACAGTAATTATGTGACAATAGTAACCTAAAATTAATGTTGCTAGTTTAAAAAATCTATATGAACAATCTTACTTTCATACAGCATTGGACTAACAATGGAATCTCAATTATCTGAACTCTTACATAGCTTCTCCTAGTCTCTTCTAAATAACCATAAAGTAGAAAGCCTAGCTAACGTGATTGGGACATAGTAAAAAATGTCATATAACAACAATTTTACAAGTTGATAGGCCTTTTATGCTGCTTGCTTCCAAAAGACAACTGTAGGCATGGAATATATCTGATGTTTTATTAATGATTTTGCCTTCATGTATTGAATTAGGTCATTGCAAAGCAGTATCTTAAAGTCCCCTTTTAACTCAATTTCTACACATATTAAAAAATGACATTTCTCTGATCTGTAAGTACCTATGTTTTATATTTTTCTTTCTAATTTAATGATGCCTCATTTTTGAATTCTTAATGTTTTGTAACTTTTTAAAAGAAATTAACATTCAAAACACACAATTCACCATTCCAAAGAGTACTCTAAGAGAAACATAGGAGGAGGAAAAATATGTATATTTTTGAAAACATTAGGTTTTAAACAGTAATGTAGGAAGGGTTCAATTACTTAAATACACACAGTCAGTGAAAATAACAGGAAATTACACGTTTCTAGAGGTCTCAATAGAGGCTCTTTTAAACAGAAAAAAATGTGATTTAAGCGATAGTTTCAGTAAGTCAGTACATAATCACACATTTATCAGCTTCCTCATTAACAAGTGGTTGCAGCTAAAGTGCACTGGCTTATTGTGCTCTTAATGAGACTGACTGTTAATGTAAGTGGACTTACCTCAGTAGCAGTGCGGCTTCCCAGAAGTAAAATCCAGAAACTAGTGTCCGAAAGTGTCTCACGTGGGCCATGATACGGAGCGATATTCACGATCCTGGAAAGAGTCTTATCCAAGGCATGAGGGACCAGAAAGGCAGAAATGAAAACGTGCCATCTAACCCCTTCTGGGGCTGGTGGAGACAAACGCTTGGAAGGTTTCAGCACCTCAGACAGCTCCCGCAGTACCCTGAAGCCCTCTCTTTCCAACACTTGATGTTTTCCTGGACCCCTCCTCTGAGCACAGAGCCGAGCGGTTCACAGGGCTACAAACGTGCGTGTGATTTCACAGCGAAGCCATAGAAAGGAGTGAGACTGAGAAGATGCGTCAGGAGTGCCTAGGTCCTGAGCAACAGTTCCCCAGAGCTCTTTCAGCAGGAAAGGACTAGCCTTCTTTTGGCTCTGACTCACTGGTGGAGGACGAATAACAGCAGTCAAATTTGGGAATGCTGTTCCATCAGGTCCAAGCGCCGGAATCTCGCTCTCCACCTTTGCAAAAAACCCCACCAAGCGCGGCAAACACAGGCGGGGGCGGGGCCAGAGGACTTGTCCTTCCCGCCAATCACGGCTGCACAGCGGGACAGAGTGACAGACCACTTACCATGCAAGGGAGTGCTCAGCCTTTCGCCCCTTAAAAAAGGAAGGGGCAGTGTAGAATTGGTGCAGAGCTTACTAGGCTCCTGGAGGGAATGGAGAAGGAAGCCTCTGGGCTGAAAATGGGGATTCAGCCAGCGGTTCCCAGGATTAAGGGGCAGAACTCCGCAGGGATGTTCCCTCCCTGACGGAAAAGGCACAATTTAGTGAAGACAGCTTACACTGTAATGCTAGAGTGAACCCACATCCTTGAGAAGAGCTTGGGAAGCTGGGTATGCGGTGCACATGCGGAGCAGAATCAGTTTCTTCTAGAAGCATCTCATGAGCCTGGCCAGCTTGCAGCCAGTTAATCGACTTCAGCGCTGATGAGACTTCTGAAAAGAGAAAGGGATGAAGTCTCCTGGAGAGACATCACAGAGACACCCCCAACCTCCACCTCCCGTGGGCGCCCCAGATTTCCAAGCTTCATGGTGATTTTAAAGGAGAGGGCCAGGTAGCATATAGTACTAATTGACTTATCTCCTCTTGCATCAATTCAGAGCTCAGTCTGTTTCCTCCGTGCTCCATCCTTTCTCCCTCTTTCTTCTTCCCATTCAACTAGCACTAGTGTGTGTGTGTGTGTGTGTGTGTGTGTGTGTGTGTGTGTGTGTGCGAGCGTGCACACATGTGCGTGTGTTTCTGTGTGAAATAGAGAATCTCTGTTTGCTTTTGGCCAGTATCAAAGTGTTCATCTTTTCTGGCTTTTTCAGAAGTCCACCGGGAATTTATTCTGAAAGCTCTGCTTTCAACTCTTAACTTTTTCAACAGCCAAACTGCGTATTAAGAATGTATTCTTAACCTGTCTCACAATATTTTTCATAATTGAATTCGAAGTGTAGCTCACAATTTAGGTGCCTCTGCCACACTCCATGTAACTGGACAAAGACAAGTTACCATGTGCCAACGTGCTAAAAGAAGTTGCAGTAATATTTTTATTGCAGCTCTTCTATTTAATAGATCATATTATTCTCATCCAGTCAAGAGTTTTCTCAATTTATATCTTTACTTTAGAAGACATTTTTCATGTGACTTTTTAAATTTAAATCATAAACTAGAAGAAGTACTCATATGTTCTTACCGCTCTTTTTTTATACCTGTATTACATTTGTATGTATGTATACATGCATATATGTATGTATGTATATATGTATGTATGGGCATGCTTATGCTTTGTTTGGAGGTCATAAGATAATTTGTAGAGAGTCAATCCTGTCATTTCACCTTGTGAGTTTGAGATCACACTTGATCATCTAGCTTGGCAACAAATGCTTTTACCTGCTGAGCCATCTCACTCTCACTGAGAAGATACCATTCTCAATTAACTAGAGGCTTTAACGAATCTGTTGAAAGATTACACCACATGCATGCCTTTCAGTTAGTTATTCTAACTGTTAACAATTACAGCTTTAGGAAACGCATAATAAAAGATATCTACATTATAATTTTTCTTATTTTAGTTATGGTTAAAGAGAACAATTCTTTAAGTCCTACCACACTCAATTACTGAGACTAAAGCAGAGTCAGGGACCATGAAGGAAATATGTTTACGGGCTTTCTTTATTATACTACCCAGACCACATGCCCAAAGGTGGTGGTGTCACCCACAGTGGTCTCAGGTCAACCACATCAATCATTACTAAAGAAAATGCCTCATGATTTTGCTCATGAACCAATCTCCTGGAAGTAAATCTTAATATGAGATTTCCTTTCCCTGATATGTTTAAGCTTGTGTCCAGTTGGCAAAAAACCAACCAGCACAATATTGATAGAATTAATGATAGTTAACTTTATTTGTAATTCAGGGTTAAAACTCAAACCATGGAGTACAAGATTAGAGTTATCTGCCTGGTTTCTAGGTCAGAGTTCTACAGTGCCTCTGTTGCATCTCTGAAAACTTCCTTGAAAAATAAGATCTACTACTTGGAAAAGCTAATTTTTGTAGAGTCATGAAGCATATATTCTCCAAACATGGAGAATGAAGAAGAAAATAATTCCAGCAGCTATTTAAACAAATGAAATGAACTTTCTGCATTCTGGTGTTCAAGATGACCATCCTAGCAGTTTTGAATAATTTTTTAGAATGTTTTTTTTTTATCAGCTAATAGTAGTTCCCTTTTCATTATGTCTCAAATTCATGGCATCATTATTAGTATTAATATTGTTAGTATTAGTATATTCTACTATAAGATTCGTGTATGTGTATATACACACACAAAAATATGTAGATAAAAGCTACTGTATCCATTTAGTTTGTCTAAGTGTTTTCTCTTTTTTTTAGATTATGATATAATTACATCGTTTCCCTCTTCCCTTTCCTCCTTCTGAACTCTCCCATATAACCCTCCTTGTTCTGTAGTCAACCTAGGATGCTGAGAGTGGGAGAAATTGTCTTCCCCCAGGAAAGAGCACACAAACTGGCTATCGAATAACAAATGGGCAGCCCTGAAAACACATATCCAATCAACATTATATAGACAGAGCAGGTTGTACTTACATATTTACTTATGTTTGTATGTAACAACAGTTTATGCTAAAAGAGTTCGCATAAATTCCTAAACCCTGAGAAGGATATTTTGCATAAGTGACTAAGGAGGAAATGGACTTAGTCCTAGATCACTAAGGTTGAGAATATGACTTGAGATCTGGAACAAAGGGCCTTTATCCCAACACCCAGCAGGGGCTGGCAGCCCATTTGCCCCTGCACCATAAACACCATTTTGCAGAAACTAGACTTCCTTTGCTTGTTTACTCCTACAGTCAAATTTAATGCTAATAGAGAAATAACAAACATCCAGAGAGATCCCTCTGTACAAACAGACCTCATGCTAGCAAAATACATTTGTTTTTCGAGACAGTATTTGAACAAATAACAAGAACTCAATGAAAATTAACTTCATTGCAGTCTTACATGCTTTCTCAATTTAGTAATGCTGATTGGCCAAATAATAACTTCAGAAGGAAAATTAAAGGCCAGCTTAATAATAAACTCAAGTCAATTTAGTGATAAAGAAGACACAATAGAAGAAACATTTCATAGCACAGAGATTCAACTTCCGAGAGAAAAAAACAAACAAACAAACAACCAGACGCTTAAGTGTAGATGAAATAAAATCACAAAATTAGACTTGAATAAGAAAGAAATGATGGAAGTTTAGGATGTAGGAAGTATACAATATATGGTAAAATAACTCAGTGAGTTGAAGAATTAAGAATATTAATGTGATGAGTCTTACTAGGTTATAGGCCGTTTTGAAGTGAAAAAAATAAAGTCAAACCCTCATATAATTCATACATTTATAAGTAATAATAAGTTACCCTTAGCTTTCATCCAGATGTTTTAATCCAATAATCTAAAAAATAAAAATTAGGCAAAAGAATTTAGCAACTTATCACAGGAAAAGGGGATTTCATTACAAAGTAGATCTTATATTAAGGAGACAGGTCTTCCTGAACAGAAAGAAAGCTGCGAATTCTGGCATGGTGTATGCCTGGACTCTAAAAAGTTGAAAGGCGGAAGCAAAACAAAGACAAACCTGGTCTATTTAGAGCTTCTAGCCCACCTGATCTGTATATTGACATCTTGCACTAAAAAAAAGAAGAAACAAAAATAATGAAAAAATAAATTTGCAGAATAAGTTATTGAATTTAAGCACAAAATTATTTATTCAGTTTGGTAAGCACATAAAAATGTAAAGTTCCAAGTAAACCAGAAAAATACAATTTTGAATGTAATAAATACTTTCAAATTGCTGAATAGACTATTATGCTTAAATTAAGGCTCTAAACTATTTCATTCAAATGTTTTAAGTTACTTCATTAATATTTCCGTGTCTTAGAGATTGTAGGAATGATGAAAGACAGGAAATAATGAAAAGTCCTTTGTCCACTTTAAAAGTAGGTAAAATAGAATATCATTTAGGAATGAGAATATTCTCAGTCTTTTGACTAGTTTCAAAGAAATACCATTTTAGAGCAAATGAAATAGAATAGTTGTATACTGTAGAGAGGGGATTAAAGAGTATATTCAAGTAGAAAGGACAAAATACATTAATGCCTTATTAGTATGTTTAATATTAAGATCACATTCTTGTACCTGTATAAGATAATTTATAAAATCCCCAGTTCTTCAGTCTTCACAATCCATGTGGTGTCAGGGTTTGGTAGTGTATGCTGGCTCTGGCCACTGTGCACTCCCCAAAGTGGATAGAGTGCTTAATGAAAGGCTTCATGCATTTAAGAAAGTGGAGAATTTAAAATAAAGCTCTCTTTTTTTTTGATGTTAAGTATATAATTAGTTGTGACGATAAAGTTTTGTGAACATGGAAAAGAAGAAGGAGAAGGAAAAGGAGGAAGAGAAGACTCCAACATGCCAAGAACCCTTCTACCAACACAGGGAGTTCTAGGGATGCAGTTTTCCTGAATTCTCACTCATGATGGGCTGGGCTTTCTCTTAATTCAGAGATATACATACTCCTGAAGGAAACTCCGATAAACTCACTGGTTCACTTAGCTAAACCTGGGTGGAATCATTTTCTTGTTCTATTAGTGTTCTGTGTGTGTAAATAGACATTGCTTCATACTTCTCCAGGGAAAGTCACATAATATGACTAAACCTCATGCTGTGTAAATATTTACAACAATGGAAAAATGGTAATAGTTTTAAAATCCTAATCATTCAAATGTAACATTTTTATTCTTGAAGGTAAAACATGTTGCTGTGGATATTGCTCTATATAAATAAAACACTGATGGCCAGTGACCAGGCAGGAAGTAGGTGGGACAAGGAGAGAGGAGAATTCTGGGAAGCGGAAGGCTGAGGGGGGAGACACTGCAGCCACTGCCAGGACAAGCAGCATGTAAAGACTCTGGTAAGCCACCAGCCGTGTGGCAAGGTATAGATTTATAAAAATGGGTTAATTTAAGATAAAAGAACAATTAGCAAGAAGCCTGCCACGGCCATACAGTTTATAAGTGATATAAGCGTCTGAGTGATTATTTTATAAGTGGATTGTAGGACTGCGGGGCTTGGGGAACCTGGAGAGAAGCCCTCCAGCTACAACATGTATTTTTTTTTTTTTACTTTTTCCTACATTTGAATTATCCTTAAAATATTTTATAGTTAGCCTTTTTAATACTAATTTAAAACAGATATTTTATTTAAAGATGCTATGAAAATACCATTTAATTGTGTTTTATATTTTCCTATGGAATAACATTTTAATATTTAAAATATTTTTGTGAATTTCGTTCAATAGTACTGTATTTAAACCATTTAACCCCTCCTGCCTACAGCTCTTCTTGTG